GCATTTTCATCCATGACTTTTTTTTCAAAATGACGTCACGACTGACTGATTCAAATTTGAAAAATTCTCTTCTGTTCTCAGTAACTAATTTAACTCCAGACATTACAAACTTGGCGAGATCAAAACAACTCAAAAGTCTCATTAAAGTATGTAATGTTTATCTTGTCTTTATATTACATCATTTTATATAAAAATGCTAAATATGCCAATATTAACATATTTATTAAAGAAAATGGTGGTACAAGTGTCGTATGGCACATCTGAACGAGCGTGAACAAAAAAATGGTGCACGGAATTCAAAAGGTTAGTCACCCCTGGTCTAAACAAAGCTAATATAAATATAAATGAAAGTCGTCGACAAGCTGATGATCATGCACACACTACCTGGCAAGCGGCCACTGACACGCATGCAGTCGTATAAACACGTGGAATCTTCTGATGGATGATCCACCACAGGAGTCTCTTAGCTACTACGGTTTATAGGGCTACTGACAGCTTATACCGTACCTTGATCATCTTGTTGGGGGTTTATAGGGCTACTGACAGCTTACACACCGATACATACAACTTACACCGTACCTTAGTCATCTTGGGGGTTTATAGCTACTGACAGCTTAATGTACTATTTTAAAAAGATTAGGGAAAGAGTTTATCCAATGGACATGCCAAATATCTGCTTGTACAAGTTATCTTCCACAGTGAAAGCTGCTATCTGTTAGTGGTCCCGGGGATTATCCCCAGGACATACGAAGGATACCTCAAGGATACTTCTGGTCCCAGATCAAGCCTACTGGCAGATCAAGGCCTTGTCAATAAGGTTGTTATTGCTGGCTGCATGTAGTCTAGTGTATAAACCACAGCCCATCTGATCAGGAACTGATTTGATTAGCTTGTCAAGTTCCCCCTCTCTTGAAGACAGCCATAGGTTCGTTGGTAATTATCACTTATGTAGGAAGGGAGGGCACTGAAAGAGTCGGGTACTTCTGACACTTCGAATTCTCTCTTAGTGTACTCATCACGCCCATTTTTTTATTAAAATTAAATTAATTAAAATGTTTATTTCTGAAGATCTAAACGATTACAGTAGTTATACTTTCGAAATGATTAAGTGGCGAGTTTCATCTTATTATAATTTCAATATAATTTGATGCAATATTAAAGTCTTGAGAAAGCCATTAATTATGCAAATGCATTTCAAGCATCATCTGCCAAGTCTGTTTTCACTCTGATTTAGGGGTGCAGGTTTGAGACCAGTTCTTCCAGGATTTTCCAGGTGTAAATTATGATGTACCGTTGTCACCTACAGTAAAAGGAATGTAGTTGAAGAGACTTCACGTGTTGCCAGTAGCTCACATGTTTAATTGAATGTACATATATGGGTAAGGAAAAAACTGTTTTCTAGTTCACCATCACCAGTCTTCCTCGGCTTGAAGGAAGCCGTTAGCATACATCATCATTGGCTCAGCATCTCTGTCTTGAAGGTTCTAGTTATCCAGCCTGTAATTTTCCTTGCGGTAGCAGTTGCTACTGCATAGGCTTATATAGTCTTCTCCAGTAGCTTCGTTAAGCCGTAACGGCTTGACAAAGCTCCTGGAGAGCGAAAAGCTGCCACAATAAAAGATCACATTAGTTGCACTTGTGTCCTTTTACCTAACAGTTTATATAATCTATGTAATTAATAGAATAAATAGCGACATAAGTTTGCCGATGACACTGAAATAGGCTGTAAAATAGTTTGTGATAAGAACACTATAGAGCTACAGGATGATCTGGATATATTGTACATGAATGGTGTGCAACACCGACAAGATGAAGAATTAGACACTATGGATGTGCTAACATTTATGGGTCTATTTGTAGACATTTCGGCATCCAGTGGCTTATCAATACAATACAAGGACATAATGTGAAGAATGTAGAACTATATACAGCCTTGAGTCGAGACTCAAGTCGATGTGTTCAGTCCATCAATCTTGATGGACTGAACACATCGACTCTAGGCTGAGGGACTGATTACCTCAAACTCCTCCTCATCTTCCACCTTTCTCTGCATTGGACTGAAGAAGCCACTGTGTTGCACAAATCTCCCATGATGGCAACAGTGCACAAGTGTTGGCAATAAAGTTAAAAGAATTCTTGGCTTTATATCGAGAAGTATAAGTAATAGAAGTTCTCAGGTCACTCCTTAACTTTATACATTTTGCAGAGGTTTCTCATTGTCTAGTCTGTATATTATAGAAGAGATAGAAATGGACTGGAAAATATACAGAAATGGATGACGAAGTTGATCCCATGTATCAGAAACCTTTCTTACAAAGATAATAATAATAATAATAATAATAATAATAATAATGATAATCTATATTTCTACAAGTACATGACACAACTTATACAGACCGCAGCTGACATCAGTGACATACTATATAGAAAGCCCCTGGTTATGCAGAGCATTTCGGGCAAATTGGGTTAATTTTGTCCCCAGGATGCGACCCAGGAACCTGTTTACTGCTAGGTGAACAGGAGAAACAGGTGTTCTAAGGAAACATGCCCAACGTTTCCACCCGTGCCGGGGATCGACCCCAGACACTCAGTGTGTGAGCCGAGGATGCCACCAAGATTGTTGGTATTCAGTGTGACTGAGGTGACCTTTTATTACTCGCCCTTTGTCACCCCTCTCCCCCTTTCTCTCCCGCCCTCTCACCCTCCCTCTCTCACCCTCCCTCTCTCCCCCTCCCTCTCTCCCTCCATCCTCACCCTCCCTCTCTCCCTCCATCCTCACCCTCCCTCTACTCCCCTCCTTTCTCTCTCACTGACACCAGACGCTGTCCCGGTCGTGTTTCTTTCCCCTCCTCTCCCCTCACTTCCCCTTCCGTCTCTTTGATGATAAAACAGATTGAGGGAAAGGCGGGAATGATTTGGCGCCCCAGGATTGTGATTTGGTTGTCTACGGTTGATACTGGACTGAACATATCGACTCCAGGCTGAGGGACTGATTACCTCCTCATCTTCCACTTTTCTCTGCATTGGACTGAAGACGCCAGTGACTGGCGAAACGTTTCCAGAATAAATATACCCAAATATTGCACAAGTGTCTCATTTATCTCATGATAACACTTGTCGGAGACTCATTAAGTCTGTGTAGATTGCTCCTGCAATTTGACTTTCAGCTGGTCTAAGACCATGAAATGGTCCACCACCATGTAGTACAAGACTAGAAGCGGTCCACCACATGTATTGCAAGACCATAAACTGGTCCACCACCATGTAGTGGTCCATGACCGTGAAGTGGTCCACGACCACGACTTGCGAGAGGCATGAGCGTCCTGTCCTGGTCTAGTTTCCCCTGGATATTGTAAATGTCATAATTCTATGTATTTAGCAATATGAATTCTCAGAATTGTTTCGAAAAATGTTGATAATATGTGATTAAGGGTCCTGAATAATTACAGTGTTAAGGGTCCTGAATAATTACAGTGTTAAGGGTCCTGAATAATTACAGTGTTAAGGATCCTGAATAATTACAGTGTTAAGGGTCCTGAATAATTACAGTGTTAAGGATCCTGAATAATTACAGTGTTAAGGGTCCTGAATAATTACAGTGTTAAGGGTCCTGAATAATTACAGTGTTAAGGATCCTGCAGAATTAGTGTTAAGGTCCTGCAAAATTAATTAAGGTTGCTTTAGAATTAAGTAAAAGGGAAAAGAATTTATGGGTTTGAGTGTGAGAGGCGGGTCCGGGTTATCACAGCAAGGGTACACAGTGTGGGGGAGAGAGGAAGAATAGTGGGGGTACACAGGAGGGGGCACGGATAGCACACTTCCGGCCTGGGGTACTACAAGGGGCGGTGCCAGGCACCCTCCTCGCCCACCTACCCTCACACGCATGGATACATTCTACCCAACACCTGAATCATTCCAGCAGGTACTGGAGTTTCTTACACAGGACATTCCAGCAGGTACTGGAGTTTCTTACACAGGACATTCCAGCAGGTACTGGAGTTTCTTACACAGGACATTCCAGCAGGTACTGGAGTTTCTTACACAGGACATTCAAGTAGGTACTGGAGTTTCTTACACGGGACATTCCAGCAGGTACTGGAGTTTCTTACACAGGACATTCCAGCAGGTACTGGAGTTTCTTACACAGGACATTCCAGCAGGTACTGGAGTTTCTTACACAGGACATTCCAGTAGGTACTGGAGTTTCTTACACAGGACATTCCAGTAGGTACTGGAGTTTCTTACACAGGACATTCCAGCAGGTATTGAAGTTTCTTACACAGGACATTCCAGCAGGTACTGGAGTTTCTTACACAGGGCATTCCAGCAGGTACTGGAGTTTCTTACACAGGACATTCCAGCAGGTACCGGAGTTTCTTACACAGGACATTCCAGCAGGTACTGGAGTTTCTTACACAGGACATTCCAGCAGGTACTGGAGTTTCATACACAGGACATTCAAGTAGGTGCTGGAGTTTCTTACACGGGACATTCCAGCAGGTACTGGAGTTTCTTACACAGGACATTCCAGCAGGTACTGGAGTTTCTTACACAGGACATTCCAGCAGGTACTGGAGTTTCTTACACAGGACATTCCAGTAGGTACTGGAGTTTCTTACACAGGACATTCCAGTAGGTACTGGAGTTTCTTACACAGGACATTCCAGCAGGTATTGGAGTTTCTTACACAGGACATTCCAGCAGGTACTGGAGTTTCTTACACAGGACATTCCAGCAGATACTGGAGTTTCTTACACAGGACATTCCAGCAGGTACTGGAGTTTCTTACACAGGACATTCCAGAAGGTACTGGAGTTTCTTACACATAACATTCCAGCAGGTACTGGAGTTTCTTACACAGGACATTCCAGCAGGTACTGGAGTTTCTTACACAGGACATTCCAGCAGGTACTGGAGTTTCTTACACAAGACACAACATTCCATCAGGTGATGAAGGATTTCTTACTGTTATTGATATATATTTTTTTTTCGCCTCACAGAAATGCGTGCCGGAGTTCGTGAACGCAGCGTACAATCGTCCAGTGGAAGTAACGAACACCTGCGGGGTACTGAGACCACAGGAGTACTGCTTGCAGACCGGTGGCTACGATGGCTCTAAGAAGGCGTGTGAAATCTGCGATGCTTATGTTCCCGAGCTGGCCCACCCTTCCTACTACCTTACTGACTTCAACAACAATGACAACCACACGTGGTGGCAGTCAGAGACCATGCACGAGGGTATCCAGTTCCCCAATCAGGTCAACATCACACTCAGGCTCGGTGAGTAGCCAAATCACTTGTTCTCTCTAGGCTGGAATACTGCTGTACATTAACATCTCCATTCAAAGCAGGTGAAATTGCAGATCTAGAGAGTGTACAGAGATCCTTTGCTGCACGTATAAGTTCTGTCAAGCACCTTAACTACTGGGAACGCTTGGAAGCACTTGACTTGTACTCGTTGGAACGCAGGAGGGAGAGATATATCATAATCTACACTTGGAAAATCCTGGAAGGAATGGTCCCAAATCTGCACACAGTAAAAGATTGGGCAGGCGATGCAAAATGCCCCCAATTAAAAGTAGGGGCGCCATTGGTACACTAAGAGAAAACACCATTAGTGTCCGGGCCCAAGACTGTTCAACAGCCTCCCATCAAGCATTAGGGAATTACCAATAAACCCCCTGGCTGCCTTCAAGAGAGAGCTGGACAGATACCTAAAGTCAGTGCCGGATCAGCCGGGCTGTGGCTCGTACGTTGGACTGCGTGCGGCCAGCAGTAACAGCCTGGTTGAACAGGCCCTGATCCACCGGGAGGCCTGGTCATGGACCGGGCCGCGGGGGCGTTGATCCCCGGAATAACCTCCAGGTAACCATACTTGAAGGATCATCACACTCAGGCTGTGATATCCACATTTATGATGTGAATGGTCTAGAAACCGACGAGTTGAAGAATTAGACACTTGTGCAACATTTGGGAATCTTTATTGTGGAAACGTTCGCCAGCCAGTGGCTTCCTCAGTCCGGTACAGAGATGAATGGCGGAAGATAAGGAGTTTGAGATAATCAGTCCCTCAGCCTGGAGTTGATGTGTTCAGTCCATCAATCTTCAAGGATTGAATACATCGACTCCAGGCTGAGGGACTGATTATCTCAAACTCCCCATCTTTCAAAATTCATATCTGTACCGACTGAGGAGGCCACTTGCTGGCGAAACGTTTACACAATAAAGATTCCCAAATGTTCCAATTTCCACATTGCATTACTGAAGTTTCCCGGCTCAGTGTTTTTCGAGAAAAAAGTTAGATTTAGGTGAAATCCCAGAGGCCTTGAAAAACTCAGACTCTCATTCTCTTCATAAAGGTGACAATAGAGCAATAGACATACAAACTAATATTGCTAACCTCACTCATCGGGGAACTAGGCCCCTGAAGGATTTACAGGATGTGTCTAATTTATCATGATAGTTAAGTTGGACTTCCGAGTTAGAACAGCTCTCAGAACCTGTGGCAGGCATGTTACGGGCACTTGGGTATAGCATCTGGGGCACCCAGTGTGTAAATTTTTCTATCATTGTAGCAGGTAGTGTTGGAGGCAGGTCACTACACAGTTTTGAAGAATAAGTATGACAGGCAGTGGCGAACCTACATTTTTGGGGTCACCATGGCAACCACCAACAGCTAGCCTACATTATACATTAATAACCTTTTAATTTTTATTTTAACTATTATTTTGTATTCAATTGCCCTATATTATTATTTACATTATTATTTTAAAAACTCCTTCTCATACAGTAGACCCAGATTTTTAAAGCAATGTGGACTAAATTCGCTCTTGGGGCCCCTCCGGGATTAGGGGCCCTCAAGTTTAAGCTTCATTAGTTTCATAGTAGATCCACTCCTGGTGACAAGTCTCTGATCAAAAATAGTGCCAGTCGGCCGGACGGGGCCAGGGTCCAAGACTCGACCCCCACAACACACATACGAGTGAACACACACAAGAGAGGGAGGAAAGGAAGGAGTGTGGGTGGGAAGAATAATGGGAATAATGAAGATGGAGGAGGACAGTGGCCAATGTGGGTGTGTGGTGTGGGCGTGGGTGCTGTGGGTGTGAGTGGTGGAGTAGGTGTGCTTGGTGTAGGCGTGGGTGATGGTGTAGGTAAGGTTGGTGTGGGTTGTGGTGTGGGTAGTGTGAGAATTGGTGGTGTGGGAGAAGTCGCGGATGGATGAGGGTGTGGGTGGGTGGGCGATGGTGTGGGCAGGTGGGCGAGGGTGTGAGTGGGTGTACCAGACAGTGAGGAATGTGTGGGAGAGGCAGTAATGAATGTCAGTGGAAATGCACATCAGCTGTGTGTGTGTGTGTTATTTTTATGTATAGGACAACCAAACCTAGCCTTACTTAATCTAATTTAACCTAACCTAGGAATGTGCTGCAAAACTGTGACGAGGTGATTTAATTGCTCGAAGGGCAGGTCCCATATTTACATTGTGATGCATGTGTTGTGTCACCGTGCAACTGATATACTTCTAAGTGCTCTTGTGTTAAAGGAATGCCACTTAATGCCACTTTGATTCTGTTTAACTTCCATCCATGTCCTGTCTCTGGATCCTCTCTTGGTAGAGATTATCTTTGTCATCTTAGATACAGCCCAAGTGTAGGTTGTATTTTGTATTCATGTGATAATGTGTAGGTCCTTCATCCAGCGTTACAGACTGTATACGTACTTTTTACCAGTCATGCAACCTATCCAAATCTGTCTTTTGACGAGTCCTGTATTTTGTTCAGGTCCTACCAGCACTGTAATCTATCTAGGTCCTTCGACAAGCCTTCTAAACTTTCTAATTCCTTTGACCAATTCTGTTTCTTATCCAGATCCTAACAACACTAATCTATGTAGGTCTTTCAACAAGCCCTGTAGATTCTCCAAGTCTTGTGGCCCATCCAGGTCTTTTGACCGGCCCTTGTGAAACGCCTTCCAAACCAGGTTCTTTTGAAGGTAAACAACTCCGCTGGCGAAATGCTAACTGTTGCACATGTGTCTTATTTTGTTATCGACAGGCAAAGATTATACGAAATTGTGGTTAGTTTTCTTGTCTGTGTCTGCTAAGACGATGACAAACAGTAATGGCATTAGGGCCGAGCTTAGTTTGGCTCGCTGTCACTCTTTGTGATCTGTTTGTTAGAAGTTTGAATATCCGTGTAACCACTCTGCCTGTTATGACTTATTGACCTGTTTTATGAGTTATTTTTCCATGGTCGCAATTCTCAAATTTATGCCTTTGCAAAAATCATTGTAGATTACATCAGCATTTTCTTTCCCATGGAAAGACTCCATAATTTTGTTATGGTTGTAACAGGCAGCACTAGCTCTTGGTTTTTCTTTGTGAATCTCTGTATATATATTATCTATCTATCTATCTATCTATCTATTACTATATATATATATATATATAATATATATATATATATAATATTATATATTTATATATATATATATATATATATTATAGTGATAAATATAGACACATGTGCAATTTTTGGGTACTTATTGAGGAAACATTTCGCCACACAGTGGCTCATCATTTCATAGTAGAGAAACTTGAAGAACAGAGGAGATGAGGTTTCCTCAATAAAGAAACCATAGATTGAACAGTGTACTAAGTTAAATTTATCAAATGTCGAGCTCTGAACATTCATCTACATATTATAATTATATACATTATTTATAACATTATATATATATATATATATATATATATATATATATATATATATATATATATATATTATAATTAAATAGGATGGGTCCACTTCTGGTGTAAATTGTGGGAATCATAGCCTCGGAAAAGTGAATAAAAAGGCTTCAAGTATGAATATTTGGATTTCTTCCTGAAGCCGTTTGAATATTCTACTTTCCCTACCACCCCATCTTTTCATATATATTTTTTTTACCAGTAGGAATATTTTATTACATAATATGGTACAGAAGATTTAAGAGATACATTGTTGATATAAAGGTGGCATATACGGTACATGTTGTTACGTGTGTATCACCGATTATAAGGCGAAAATCTCATCCAGCTCCTCAGAGCTGGGGCGTGTGCCAAAAATACAGCAGGCATTACCCCTTTGAACAGCTGCACTGAGCCGCTGGAACAGAAAACTAGCTGCCCTGGGATCCCTAGTTACCCTGATGAGTCTTTTTCCCAGCTCCTTAAGGAATTTAGATGCATTCTTTCCCCATGAGCCAAGGGTCTCTGAGCCTATGGGAACAAACATATAATGATGGGCAAGTTCTCCATATTTTCTAGACTTTTGGGACTCCCTGAAGCTGGCAGCTGCCCCTCCTTCCTCCCTGGTGTATTGGAGATAGGTATTAGCCAAGGTAGATGCACATGTATAGTCCCACACCACCTGCTTCCCATCTATCCAGGCTTGAAGGGTGATACCATCTGGACGCTTCTGGCTGCCATCAGATCTGCATAGCTGGGGTGGCTCCCTTACTGCTGGGCATCCGGCTGTTGTGAGGCGCCTCTTGATAATGTAATTAACTTCCTCATGTCTTGCAATCTTTCCCTCGGATTTACGCCACACAAGACCGTGGTACCCGAATCGGTCTGCTGCTTCACTGCCACAAATATACCTGTGTTCGGCGAGAATAGGGGCGGCAAGTCGAAGGGCAACACCGATGCGGATGGTCTGTGGGTCGAGGCGTGTGCCAAGGCTGGAGTTGGGAACAGCCAACAGAAAATCCCCTGCATGATGTGCTCTCACTGCCAGGAGGCGGGCTCTATCCTTCCCTGACACACTCTGAAGCATTGTTGAGGCTATATTTTCCACTATTGGACCATATATATATATATATATATATATATAATATATATATATATATATATATATATATATATATATATAATATTATATATATATATATATTATGTACAGTGGTCCCTCGTTGTTCGTAATTAATCCGTTCCTGGAGCCGTTACTATAAACGAAATTTGCGATTTACGAATAAATTTTCTCCATAAGAAATAATGTAAATACAATTAATCCGTTCTTGACACCCAGAAGTATTAAAACAAAAAAAATTTTAACATGAAATATGCATGTAGTACATAAACAATACAATGGGAAATGATGAATGAAACATTAACAACATAACACTTACCTTTATTGGAGATTCTTCTTAGTGTATGGGAGACTGGAGGAGGAGAGTGGATTGTTTATAGTTTGGAAGGGGAATCCCCTTCCATCAACACCTCAGGTTCCATTTGCTTTTCT